CATTATTGTGAAAACTTTTCAAAGAAGATAACGGAAGAAAGGAACTAAGAAGAGTGGATTTCAATTAATTTAGGCACGCAGGTAACTTAGATAGTGATGTATACCAGTTAATGCGAATTGTTGATTCATATAAGTAATGAGGAAAATTCTGTAACTCCTACAATATTACAATACATAGAACATATATAATGTAAGGGACATAAACTGATAGCAATAGATGTAAATAAATCCGTAACTTGTATAACTGATATGAAAATACCATGATTCCTTACTGGAAAATACATGTACTGGGGATTTCACCTTGTTCATGTGTATGTTAGTTAATGGTGGAGATAAATGTGCATAGATCATTATGTAAATGTGGATGTCATTTGTATAATTGGTGATGAAATGTTAAAATGGAATTCTGCCAAAGGATAGATTAGATGTAATTTATTTACGAACAACCAATTGAAATAGATTATCCTAATTACAACCTTATTTCCACAATTATTGAAACAAAATAAAGCAACAAGACGTAAAACGTACACAAGCTTTAAATATTTCATGGCTGTACAGGTCTGGATGCACAGTTGATTACTGTAAATATGACACTAAAGAGGATCAGGTGTGGACCTACACCAGACCTGAACCTGAATGTTCTGGACTGGCGTTCACCTTTAGTTGCCAGGCTAGTAACTTCCCATGTGCCCCTTAACAAACAGCCTTTTATGGGGATGACTTTCTGCATGCTCTGCCAGGTTTAGGGGTTCCTAAATGCATACAAAATGTGGCATGGATAAATTCTTGAAAAGGTCGCCTAGCAGTCTGCTGTGTACCTGACTGGAATGAATATGCAGGATGTAGCCCAGACAACTCACATGGTGTAGTTTTGGGTACATGCCAACAAGGAGGTTATGCCATTGAGTTAATAGTAGACCTTGACCAGCATGTTAAGCAACAAATTGTGCCTTCTCAATGACTCAGATATATTGCTGATGCATGGCGATTGTGACACATTGGTTCCCTGGCTATTATTTCTAACAATGGTCTTTTCAGATTTACTAGCTTTATTACCTTTGCCAAGAAGGTTATATGTTTTTGGTATGTCTTGTGTATGTGTGCGTATGTGTGTGTCTGTCAACACAATAAATTGTCACAGGTTATGGTATATAGGTAGTTTAAACGATGCTTGACATGATCAGATGAGGATCAGGGCCAAATCTGCATCATTAATTAATGAGGAAATGCTATAAATCTGCTGCATCCCATGATAAGACTACTGTAAATATTGAAAGTTTGTTGGTTGTTTTATTTTTGTGAGAATCTATGACACCATGAATGTCTCACATGTATGACTACCGTACTTTAGAAATGATTCAACTGCAAGTTTATAATGCAGGGAAAACCTCATATTTCCTCTTAGTGCAAAATAAAACTACTCAGAAAGTAAATGAATTTGCAGCATTCAAGCATGTGGCATATGTGACTGTATTGCACCCCTGCCCTGCCCTGGTTGAGAGAAGATTGGTGCGCCTTGATGTAGAATAGATGGCCTGCTTTACTCCTGTCACAGAGAAGTCATGTTCAGTATCCAGAATCCGATGACCCCCAGAAGTGACTCATGTTGGTTAGTGGGAGGGCCAAGTCAAGTTTGGCATGTGTGTACAGACATGAGTTGACTTGACAGTCTAAAGTCAGTTTGCTGAGAGTTCCAAATCACTTTGTAGCTCAATGTTTAAAGAGAATGCTCCAGAGTTGGAGAATGTGTGTGTAAAGGATGTCTTCGTCTATTTTAAGTTTTATGTTGCTAGCTAAGTGCTGATTGCAGGTGTGTAAATTCACACCTCACAAGCACAGGTTCTGGTTTTGGAAATTTCAGACATGTGTCTTAATGTAGGTTTGTTTGTTATCAAAATGTGTCTGCCATCCCAATTGCCCATTCTTGGAATAACCCCTTATAGGAAGACAGACCCAACAGATCAGTCAGAATGTGGTTGGGACTCTACCCATGTCATTGGTCTGACATTTGGCAAAGGTCAGTTTGCAGAAGGGGCCACCACAGGGAGTTTTCAAGCATGCTTGGTTTGCTTCCCTTCAGTAACAACACTTGCTTTCACTGCTCAGGTGATAAATATTATTTATTACCCTTCCTAATGCATAGGTAATGTGACAATTTTTTTTGTTTTGATGGCCTAGCTACTCATTGAAGCATAGTTTCAAGGATTTATCAGATAATTTCAGTGCACAATCTAATTCTGATGTACACGGTGGGTTGTGAAGATCAATACTTGTGTCTGGAGGAGCAGAACCTGTGTTTGCTGAGGTTTGCATTGCACCTTGTGGGTGGAATTACTGTAGTGGCTTTATTGTATGCATTGGTAGAAATGTGTCTTTGTGCACAGGTTTCAGGTCATATTTAGAATTAAAATATCTGGATCTGGCCTGACAAGATCTGGGTTAGACTAAGAGGTTGATCTGGCCGGATCTGGCATAGTTGGTAGCCTGGGTTCCAAACCCATAGCACACTGGACACAAAGTATCTCCAGTGTGCTATGGGTTTAGAACCCAGGCTATATAGTTGGCTCCGATATAGTAGATATGTTTCACATGTGGGTAAGTTGATACTGAAGTGTTGTTTACCCTTTACAGTCTGGTAGAGACTAGTATTGCTTGTAAAAGGTTGAACTTTCCCAGACGTACGACACACAACCATGGACATCTGACAGGTAATTTTTTCCTGGTGTAAATTGCCTTTTGCGGGTGCTATAAAGAAGTAGAACTTTAATGGAGTTGGCATGCTGGTCAGAAAAACTTCAAAAAGTACCAAGAGTAGCCACAGAAAACAGCCAGCTACCCAGAAGGCCAGGAATGAGTGGTCCCACCTGCCCAGGAACTGTTGACAATACCAACCTCTGTTTTGTTCTATAGTATCTGATACTTCTCCTGCAATTTATATGCAGCCTTTTCTAGTGATATACAGGAATGACCTAGAAACAGATGATGAGGTCAGGGATGATATCCTGGTAGCATTTATAGCAAGAATGGACCCATTGTATTAGCAAAACTGCCTTCCAGGATCTGGTTTTTGTGAATCCTGATGAAAGGAGGCAAGAAATCTAACCCTACTGTGGAACATAGCTGTTATCCTAGGGCAGGATAGATTAGGTAACTCTGTGTGATTGTAAAATGATCCATTAATTATTGAGAGGAAGGATAATTCTTTTTTGACTGCATACCTCAACAAATATTTGGCCTAATATACTTACAGTAGATATGGAATAATATACAAGGAACTATTAGAACTAGAAGGAAGGCACATATTAGTAAATTCATTTTTTCTATAACCTAGGCAATCAGCCATACTATAGGATCTCAAGGATAATTGCTGGTCTGATTATACGAGCAAAGAAACGTGGGATAATGGCACAATGGCTTTTTCATGGACGTTAACAGGGTTCCAGTATCATATGATGATGATTTTTACTTGATGTCCATTTTACATAGAGGAGATGTATAACAACAGTTCACAACTCAGCAAGAAATCATCCCCTAAAGTAACCTTTGCCCTTTCTGGCTGGGGGTGAAAAATACTGTGTAAGGTCCCGAACTCCTGTTTAGTTCTGTGTTGTTTGTGTCTGCTTTGCCTTGGGCTTTTTTGGTTAGGTAGTGATACTTACTTCAACTTGGCTGAGTCTATTTAGCTGAGAATATGTCAAGTTTTGTGAGTGGGTAGTTTGGCATACCTGTCCACTTCCTGGGGCTATTGCCATTGTCTTTGCTTAGGGAGGTGGGCACTGTAAACCTACTGTAAAAACCACCCCCAAAACATTCACCCATTTTTCCTTGTCACCTCTTTATTTGTGATGAGATCAGGCATCTTCACTATATGCATATAAGTGCAAGCTTTATTTTATGTTGATTGATTCTGTTGATTCCATTGTAGCTTTGCAAATCACTCATGATTAGAATTCCGCTTCATTTATATTGACTACCTTTGATCAAGGGAAGCTAGTCATGAATTTCAGTTAGTGGAATTTTCCCAAGATTACTGACCTAAATAGGTTAACGGCACGCATATTTCAGATGAATGGGCTGCGAGTATAAGAAGTAGAACAGAGCGACCATCAGGGTGTGAGTGGTTCATTTTGAAACTAGTGGTTATTCTCATTATCCAAATTTTGAGTTGTTATAGGCTCCATATATACATCTGCTGCCGAATATCCCTTTTTGATGACAATTATATTTACATAGTCTTAATGGCCAACATTACATTTGAGTTCATGTGGTAGGGCATCATCGTATCTCTCAGATTCTTAATACTTTTTTGTGTTCGCGGTTATAGTTGCTAACTATATAACCCCTTTTCCATGACTATGGGATATATAGTAGAAAGTAGAAACCATGCTGCTCTGCACAATAGTCTGCCTAATGACAACACACTGACAACTTACAATTTTCCCCATGTGTTGCACCAATCACCAGTCAGTATGGTTTATGGATCATTATTGGGAACATTGTATACGCAGTAGACCCAGCAGAAAATTGACTGGGAAATTTTGCTGGTGCCACCTGCAGCCATAAGCAGCAAGCAAACATAAGTGCAAAAAGAACAAAAAAACATCATGGGTACTCCAGAAGGACTATGACCTAATGTTGCTATCCAGAAAAGTATTTCTGCGGGAAATATTATTTAGAAACCAGAACTGATTTGGAAGTACTATTATTATACTATATAGTAAGCACAGAGTATCTGTCAATGTGCAGTTAAACTTGTCTGTTGATTATTCAGTGTAAGAGACATCCATAATGATAACTTTTTTTTTCTCAATGGACATCAGTTGAGTATTTTATTTTAGGAAAGCAAATTTGGGTTCCAAGGATGTAGGGTTTCCCATTCCAGGCTGTGATGTTCTCATGTATGCTATTAATGGTATTGAAAATACCACCACCATGAGATTGTGTTTTACAACAGGTGGCAGAGATGTTATTGTAACGTTTCTATGATTTTGCCTCCCCAGGTTTATGTGGAGTTTGATGACCGAGACTGGGAGCAGCGAGAGTGGCTGAAGGTTTATGAGGGAGGCTTTCAGGTGTTCCTGGTGGAGAAAACATTGGTGTGGGGCCAGCGTAGGGGCATCTCCAAATCAGCCGTCCTCTGGCCTGCACTGGTAGGAGCAGATTACATCATTATTTGATTACAATGCACTCTATGGTTATACACATCTAAAGGGCTTGCAACCTGTCAGATTAGTGCATAAATTCCTGAAGGAGAATTCTTTTGAACAGTGTATATTAGGAAGAAAGCCAGATGAGCTGCTTGCAATATTATTGTATTGCATTTAAAGGGTGGAAATAATGTGGAAATAGCTGTTGAATGCGCAGTATGTACATACAAAGGTAAACACAACAGTGTGTGGGTCACAGCCATTTAGCCAGCCCATACCAGGTTTTGCATTACAAAAATGTGTGACAATCCCATGGGATGTGGTGCGCCATATGGAGTGAATTTGTCACGAAAATCGCATAACCTTTCCCTGAGCCGCCTGACCCCACTTCCACAAACAAATTCACCACATGTCTGACCCTGCTATTTAAAACTGACATCCCTGTGACCTGTTTGTGGATCTGCAGGCAGGGTTTTAGACACTTTTACAGGTCTAATCCATTCTGTGTCTATTTGAGCAACTGCTCTCATTGGAAACAATGGCGTGGTAATGAGAGTGAATTTTGCTGCCAGCCATGCATAAATCAGCACAAATTATTCATTTGAGGGCTGCTGGCAATGTTGCTGCAGTACATTATACTGCCTTAGGAACATGGGCAACCTGTGTGCAGCAAAAATGGTATACTAGGAAAAGATGTACAATAAAGGTCTTCACTCTTCATTAAATGTCCCTCAAATAGGCATGAATAAGACCATTGCAAGTGGGTCTACATATAGCTTTTGCCAAGAGTCATATTATCATTGGCTAACATATGTAGTAAGTCGTCCATGTGTTCAAGGAATAAACTATAGCAATATTTACATATTGGTTGATGATGACCTTCCCTTTAGCTTGAATTTATACTCTATTACTCTCTTAGTGACAAGTGATTTTTACCATTATTGGCAGGACCAGCTGGGTAAGACATAAAAAGACTGGCCATTATATTTAAACTACACCTGCACAAAGTATCAAGCCTGTGTGGGGTCAAATATCATTTTTATTAAATAGGTAACAAGAGTTCGATGACCTCATGCCTTTCCTATAGTGTTGATCTCATTGACAAACATTTTAAATATCTTGATTATCTTGAAGCTATAAACCATTCACTGCAGTTACGTGTCAGCAAATGTATATACTTCCAGAATCAAATCAAGATGATATATAGAGCATGACTAAAACCACCTTGAATTGGGATATTTTGGGTTATGCTAGCCCAAATAAGTTGTGTTTTGGAATGTATACAAGCAGGTTTGTAGCGATCACCGTAATGGTAACGATGAATTATCAACTGCACATATACAAGGAGAAATGATTAAAAGAATCCAGAATATTGTCTGTCAAAGCGCTTCAATACAAGTACATGTCCTTTTTTATTGCTGCACATACGGCCCATTGATTGAATTTGAGCAATCGCAAATTTAGACACAGCTGAATCTTCAATTTCCTGAAACTGCGGAATTTAGCCAAATCTGAAGATACAGTAATTTTTAAATTGTTTGCTACTCAGGTTTCCATACTCTATATGTATATCCTGTATTTTGTTCAAAAACTAGTCTCACGGAATTAAATTAATTCCAGCATTTGGTGAAATTTAATACATTGTACCTCAATGTTGCATGTTCTCAACTGCATAGGTTGTGCACATTCCTTTTTCCATTTGATATGAAGGGGTTATAGCCAAAGAAATCAATACTCTTACATACATAAAAGCTTTCCTATCTCTGGAAAGGGAGATGTAATCAGGAGTATTGAAAATCACCCATTTGAAGAGAGCATGTCTACCTGGGAGTTAACGTTCACAGCCAACACACAGTGCAGCACCAACCTTTCCTGGCCCCCTCTCAAGGCCACAGCCATCATCCAAGTCAATGACTTGTTCAATCAGGAAAAGGCTGGCACAGTGAATGGGACAAGCGTTGCCTGGTAAAAGGTGATTTATTCTTAGCTGTAGAACATACAATATAGAAACCTGTGTGGAATACCAAATATTTTTGCTTGTGGGCCATAGTTCCAAAGTCTCCCCATGCCTTGTGTAGATATCCAAATATCATGGAGAATTGTCATCAAGCTTTGTTCATGCATTCATGAGTGATTTGAGTTTGTGATTTTAACCTTGCTCCCCATGATTTGTCTTGACAGGCAGTTTGTATTTCTGCCATCTTCTATTGATGAGCTAAAGCTCACTCCAATGTAGTTGTCCCTCCAAATGCCTTCCATCGTCTTTCTAATGGGTTTTGAAATTGACAGCTTTACCCATCCATTCTGCTCCTTGGCAAGCAGAAAATAAGAGTTAATGACCACGAATCAGTCCCAAGAACCTATTAAGAGTGCTAAAAGATCAAAAGTAACAATACCACCATTAGCAGACTCATTTATAATTTGGTTTTTGTCAAATCAGTGAAACATATATGGGAGTATTTTGACATTTAGCTTGAAGAAAGAATGGTCAAATTTATTACCTAATTTTGCTGGTAGGTAATATTGCACCCTACTCTAGTGTACTACTAATCAACTGTAAGTGTCATTGCCTGCTGCTACCTGGTGTATGATGGCTGTCACCTCTGCAATATGATAAAGAAACAGCCAGGGTAAATATGAATTTGCAACAGTAAAAGTGATTGTATGATTAAATGTTTCCTTCCCTGATGATCCTTGCTCCATGCTTGAAATGCTATTTAGGTCATGGCAGTGATTGTCTCACAGGTAAACAATTATTGATTTGCTGCTTTTGAAAACTTCAAAGCATGTTGAGTTAGCCATGCTCTATTTGAAGACTTCTTGTTGACCTGTACAAAAATGGTGCAGAATGTGTCTCATCAAAAGAGGGGATGTCTAACTAAGCTCCCCAGTTAAACTTTCTGGCACTCATGTTGCTGTTATCACATAGTCTGGAATACCTGTATCAAACGTTATCGTAGTTCAGGTAATGACATAAGGAAAGGAACCATAAACTAGTAAAATAAAAACAGCACTGGAAGCACTGCACAGAAACACCAGCAGGACAAGGGTTAAATGATGATTGAAAAATCAACAGATACAAATTATGCAAAACTGAATCTTGCATGATTAATGAGGAAATTATATCAATCTGCTAACTATTGCTAGCTAAAGTCCGTTGTAGGACTTTTTAACATGTGACACTCTATTGAGGAAGAGATGAACATTGGTAGATATCAATTATGCAAATGAAGAAAAAGGTTTGCTGTGGTGTTATACTGTTTAAGTGCTGACCTCTTGCAGCAAAGTCATGACACTGTGAATATGTATTTCTACTGTACTTCAGAACTGTTTCAAGCATGAAGTTCAAAAACAACAAAAAGCTCCTTTGTCCACTGTGAAATTAAGTCTGTGTGAAAATAGATTAACTTACCGTATGTAGCATAGCTCATAACTTTCTGACTTTCAAGTTGCAACTCCAAAGTTACATCATCTAAATTAACTGCTCCAACTTCCAAGCTACCTTTTTACATAAAACATTCAAGTGTTGTATCGATTTCAAAAGCTAATAGCCTCATAAAAGCCAAAGAAACCTTTTAGTCAAATGATGCAGGAATTAACAAGATACCTCAGGAGACTACTTACCACCACAAGGAGGATAATTGTTAACTTTGTTGGTTGGGTTGATTTGGTAATGGTTACCATGTTTGTATGACCTTGAATGACTCCCGCTGATGACAATGATGCACAGCAGCTGTACCAGGGGTCAAAGAACTGAAAGGTCTCATTGTCAACAAGAGTTTGATAAACACACACAGTTTGCTAAAAGTCTAGTGTGCCAGAAAAGCACAAACATTCACCATAAAAACATGAATTTCCATGAAAACAAGACATTATTACATTCTATTTCTCATGTTAGGCCAACCATATCATACTCTGCAAGTCTATGATATATTTCACAAGTTCCTGTAGACTACAACTTGTATTCTTGGAATTTACAGTCAAACCTGCCCAAACAGATCATACCTCAAAGCCAACGACCTAGCCGCGGTGACCGTTTCTTCTCAATCCCAAAAAATTTATGAAAATAGACAAGCATTAAACAACCTGGCCAAGACGACCACCTGTCCAGTGCACCTATGGCACAGATTGAGACCATTCCAAGTACTGTATACTCCCCAACTTATGAGGTTAGCTGTCAGAGTGTTGAAACAATTGTGGCAATGTTCAGACCATCTAGAGTGACACAGTAGTGCAAAAACCCCAACAGGTCCCAGCACTGTGTACAGGTGACTGGTGAATGCACTGGTTTGTCCCTGTAGTGTCTGCAGCTACCATAATATTTACTGGTTACCTTGACAATGTCTGGAGCTGTATTGTGTGAAACCAGTTAGTTTACTGTGCACAAAAGAAATGTGCAGCTAGTCTGTATATAATGTGGATTTCCTTGTAAGAATTTTGAAGCCACTGGTATTTCTTAGGCCCTCTTTATATGTTGAATTTGACGATATCAGGACTTGCAATGTGTCAGTGGCATTTTCTGTCATGTAGAGAGGAATTTCATGGCCGTGGGAAAGATTTTTCTGACATTGGGAAAATCACCCATGATAACTGCAAAGTAGTCAGGCAACATGTTCATGTATATGGCTTCTATACCTATGGTATGGAGTGAAATATAATTTTACGGTTTATTTTACAAGGGACAAATCATTGAATGCCTCATAAGATTGCCCTTAATGCCTACCAGTAGCATGCTACTCATTAGGGACCAGGTACAGCCTACAACTAAGATGAAATGTTGAGACATGGCTAAAGTGATTCAGAGGCAAGCTAGCAAACCAAGGTTTGTACATGCAGTTGGAAAGGTGTTTGATCTAGAAGCAGGGTAGGTAACCAAACCCTACACCACACTACATTCTGCAGGGTTATGTAGGTGTTTGCTTGCATGTTGATATGCATGTCCAGTCACACCGTTTCAACATAGTCTGGATTATCTCAATGCCAACCCCCCACCCCTTCACATTTGAGCAGGCTGTTACAAGATGCTATCAAGTGGAAATTGAGCTAGTGTTTACCAGTGTTGTTTATCTTCTCTCTCCTGTTGTTTCAGACATTCAGCTACTTGGTGGACAAGGTCAGCCTCGGGCAGGGCGGGAGATGTGTTCTGGAGTTCCTCCATGACCGAGCAAGGTAAGATGCTATGACTGAGAATACTGCATACACTGAAATCTATCAACATTCATCCGGTTTGCAGGCACACATGTCAATTTTCTGGGCGCCATATTGTTTGTCCTGATGTCACGGAGTTGCAGCGTCTCACTGTGCTTTAGCGCAAGATTTGCTTCTTATTGGTGACCAGGTCGATATATTGCATTGAAATTAAGCATCATTATTGGCGGGAGTGGGACGGCATGTAGAGGGTCATTTTCACAGGAAAAATCTTACATGGATAGCTCCTGCTGTCCTCTGTTGACATCAAGATGACATGACAAAACACAAGTGTTACACCAAGCCAGATGAGCAGAGGACGATCTCTGCATTTCTCTGCA